AAAAAAAAAGGCAGGGGTGGGGGAAGGACGGGGGCTTTAAAAAAATACATGTATGTGGCTGGGCGCCATGGCTCATGCCTGTAATTCCCAGCACTTTGGGAGGCTGAGGTGGGCAGATCATGAGGTCAGGAGATCAAGACCATCCTCGCTAACATCGTGAAACCCCATCTCTACTAAAAAATACAAAAAATTAGCCAGGCGTGGTGGCCGGCGCCTGTAGTCCCAGCTACACAGGAGGCTGAGGTGGGAGAATGGCGTGAACCCAGGAGGCAGAGCTTGCAGTGAGCCGAGATGACACCACTGCACTCCAATCTGGGCGACAGAGACTCTATCTCCAAACAAACAAACAAAATATATGTAATACCATTTTACAATAATTGACAACATCAACAGATAACAAAATGAACAGCAATTCTTTTTAATGTTTTTTAGGCTGGGTGCAGTGGCTCACTCCTATAATCTCAGCACACTGGGAGGCTGAGGTGGGCAGACTGTTTGATCCCAGGAGTTCAAGACCAGCCTGGGCAACATGGCAAAACCCCATTTCTGCAAAAAAATACATAAATTAGCTGGGCATGTCGGCACATGTCTGTATTCCCAGCTGCCTGGGAGGCTGCGGTGAGAGGATTGCTTGAGCTGAGGAGGTAGAGGCTGCAGTGAGCTATGATTGCACCACTGCACTCCAGCCTAGGTGACAAAGTGAGGCCCTATCTCAAAATATATAAATAAATAATATATTTTTAAGCCTTGTTCTGTTGCCCAGGCTAGGGTACAATATAAGATCTTATGATCTTAATTCACCATAACCTTTAATTCCTAAGCTCAACTGATCCTTTGGCCTCGGCCTCCCCAAAGTGCTAGGATTGGGGCACGAGCCACTGTGCCCAGCCCAATGGTAATTTTTTTTTTTTTCCTTTTGAGACAGAGTCTTGCCGTTGCACATGCTGGAGTGCAGTAGCGTGATCTCAGCTCACTGCAACCTCTGCCTCCTGGGTTCAAGTGATTCTCCTGCCTCAGCCTCACTAGTAGCTGGGATTACAGGTGCCTGCCACTATGTCCGGATAATTTTTGTGTTTTTAGTAGAGACAGGGTTTCACCATGTTGGCCAGGCTGGTTTTGAACTCCTGACCTCAGGTGCTCTCCCTGTCACGGCTTCCCAAAGTGCTGGGATTATAGGCGTGAGCCACTGCGCCTGGCTGAATGGTAATTCTTTAGTAACACGTAACACCTCATCTGTGTTCAAACTTCCCTGATTTAATACTCTCAATCTAACTTTTCTGGATGTGTCCATGGCATGTCATAGTTAAATAGCATTTTTTTCTGTATTAACTGTATATAATATAATGGTACATTTTACAATCAATAACATCTTACATTTGATAAAGTATAATACATGTAGCGTGCTTAGAACTGAGCGCTGTGTATTTGTACCTGTTCACCCAAAATCGGGCACTTACTGTGTTCCAGACCTAATCTAAGCTCTTTACATGTTTCATCTCATTTAAGCCTCTCCACAATCTTATAAGTTATATATGCACTGTTACCATTCCCATGTTAGATATGAGAAAATCCAGGCATAAAAGATAAGGTCTCAAAGTCATGAAGGTAGCAAGTGGTACAGCCATTATTTGAACCCAGTTTACTCCAGATCCCACACTCTAAATCACAATGCAGCATGGATGTCTAATATTCTCAGGTCAGCCCATCATCTTCCAAGTAAATGAGTCTCCAAAAGCATCAAAGGTATTATTTCCTTAAAATGATTAAACACATGTATTTGCTTCCAAATTAATGTTTCTAATACTCAACTACAATATATCTTAAATCTCTCTAAAGTCCTTTAATCAATTTTTCAGATGATTTTTTTTTTTTTTTTTGGAGACAGTCTCGCTCTGTTGTCCAGGCTGGAGTACAGTGGTGCAATCTTGGCTCACTGCAACCTGCACCTCCACGGTTCAAGTGATTTTCATGCTTCAGCCTCTCCAGTAGCTAGGATTAGAGGCCTGTGCCACCGTGCCCAGCTAATTTTTGTATTTTTAGTAGAGACAGGGTTTCGCCATGTTGACCAGGCTGATCTTGAACTCCTGGCCTCAAGTGATCCGCCTGCCTCAGCCTCCCAAAGTGCTGGGATTTGAATTTTTTTTTTTTTTTTTTTGAGATGGAGTCTTGCTGTCACCCAGACTGGCGTGCAGTGGGGTGATCTTGGCTCACTGCAACCTCTGCCACCTGGGCTCAAGCGATTCTCCTGCCTCAGCCTCCTGAGTAGCTGGGATTACAGGCGTGTGCCACCACGCCCAGCTAATTTTTGTATTTTTAGTAGAGATGGGGTTTCAGCAACTTGGCCGGGCTGGTCTTGAACTCCTGACCTTGTGATCCACCCGTCTCAGCCTCCCAAAGTGCTGGGATTACAGGCGTGAGCCACCATGCCCAGCCTCTAGGATTTTAAGTTTTTATTTATTTGTTTTTATTACTACTTTTGCGATGGGGTCTCATTCTGTCATCCAGGCTGGAGTGCAGTGGAGAGATCTCAGTTCACTGCAACCTCTGCCTCCCAGGTTCAAGCAATTCTCCTGCCTCACCCTCCCTAGTAGCTGGGATTACAGGTGTGCACCACCAGGCCCGGCTAATTTTTTTATTTTTAGTAGAGACGGGGTTTCACCAGGTTGGCCAGGCTGGTCTTGAACCTCAAGTGATCTGCCCACCTCAGCCTCCCAAAGTGCTGGGATTACAGGTGTGAGTCACCGTGCCTGACCTATATGTCATCTTTTATTGGTTTTGTGGGAAAAGTTACTGCACCCAGCCTGAACTTTTTAAATGTAAAGTTCTTCTTGTATGTTTCTCCAGCAGTCAAAAAGCAGTTTTCCCTTTCTTTTAGGAAGGCTGTTCTGGAATAAGGTAAGTTGTCAAAAAGGGTACTAAGTCTGTTGGCAAAAGATTCAGTGTTGCAAGAAGTATACACAACTTTGCTAACTAAATGCCACACAAACTCAAGTGGAGTAATTCCACATCAACAAAACACATAAGATCATTACTGTATGAAACAGCAAGGAAAAATGTTGAAGCTAACCCCAAGAATAGAATCCATAAAGATCACATGAGATCCGCAGCTAGTTATTAAGAAAACTGCAAAGTCATCAACAAATGACATTTACACAACGCTCTCTGAATGAATCGTGTCATAGTATGCACTTTGAAATATGAGACAAGCTGTTGGGCCTAAAGATGCTTAATCTAAGAAAGTCATTAATTCAGGAAGAAATATGTGTAGTCCAATGCAGAATGAGAACAGGGCCAAGATATTTTAAAAGGGGAAATATTAAACCCGGTAAGAAGAAAAATGATACTATTCTGGAATAAAATGTTACCAGAGGAGCTCCTTGAGGGCCTAAGCTTTTGCCACTTACAGTCTCATCTCAGAGGGGTGTGAGTCATCGTCCTCTCCCATTATAATGATGCCTTTGAGCTTGACATTGCCCGTAAATCTGCCAGAATGCAAAAGAGAAGGTTGTCAACCTGGGTTTGAATACCTGTTTAGTTGTGTGACCCTGGGCAAGACCCTTCCCCTGTATGGGCTTCAGTTTACTCATCTGTCAACTTGTACTAGATAATTTCTAAGATCCTGTCCACCTCTAGCATTCTACAATTCTAAGAAATTTACCTCAATTTCTCAGTTATTGTTCAACAACTACATCTGTTTCCAGTCTGCACCAAGAAAGCTATGATGCCTTCCTCCTCAAACCCACTAAATTAATTTATCCCATTTCAAGAAGCAAATGTGTGCTCTTGACACCAGTGAATGAATCCATCTGAGGAGGCAACTGGGTACAGCTTATTTAGCCTGAGGTAGGCACCAAGGAGATACTTACGGAATATTAAACAGAAGCTCTTCATCTGCATCACTTTCAACAAACTGGAGGGGATGGGGAGGGAGGAGGAGAAAGCAACAAATATTTGCTGAGAGCCTACAATTTCAGGCATCTCCCACCCTGTTCTACAACTGGGGTGCAATGGGAATAGTCACTCTCCCTTGGTTTTCCAAGACTTATTAACTTGAAGCTAATCAGTCTTATCCAGTGTCCTAACAGCCACAGGTCATCCAACTGGAAGGTGCTTAATAAAAAGCCCATGAATGAATTTCCAGGGTCGAAGAGCCTTCTGAAATGTGAACTGAAAGGCAGGTGCTTACGTGCATTTTTCTGAGAAGGTCCATTGTTTTCAAATAGATAGCAAGGGGGTCTGCGACCCCACAATATAAAGAACCTTTGCTTTATATGGGAAACACCTTTCATCTCCCTAGGCTCTTCTTCACCAGGTAATACGATGAGGCAGCCATTAGCACCAATGGTCCAACGGCCCTCAAGGCCATCCTCTCTAACCCACACAGCCGTAGAAGAGCATTAGGCTGCGTAGCTTCACAAAACCGTCCCCGTTCCCTCTCGGCCTCAGTTTCCCTATATGCAAAATGGGGAGACTCAACGCTGCTCGCCTCCCAAAGAGCTGGCAGGAGACAGGCACGGAAAAGCGATTGGCAACCAGGCTGTCGTTATTTTTAACATCAGGAATGAGTAGACCGACGGCCCGAGGCCAAACGCGCACCCCACCCCGCCCGCCCCAAGCCCCAGGCGGCCCACCTTGGAGCGGTCGGTCCGCTCCTCCCACGGCTTGAAGACGCCGCGGCCGCTGCCCTCGCGGCTCTCGTTAAGGCACTGCAGCCGCTCCAGGTCGATGCGCAGGTACAGGCCATAGGCCAGGCCGCGCTGCTCGGGCGGCTCCTCCCGTTCGGCGGCGCAGCGGCAGCCGCCCCCGCCGTGGCTGTGACCGTGCGACATGGCGACACCGCCACCTGCGCGTCCTCTCGGCCCCGCCGCCACTCGCGCCCGGCTCTGCTCAGACTAGCCCCGCGCCGCTTAGCTCCGGCCGCCAAGCGCGCCGCGCCCGCCGCGTCGTAAAAGGCGCCGCTGGGCGGCGCATGCGCCCAGGGAGAAGGCGGGGCGGAGTCGGGCGGAACTGACGTTGGACTCGCGCCTCCCGGGTGCCAGAGTTCGTGTAGACTCCGGTGCTGGAGCTGTATGCTGCTGCTGCTCTCCCAGCTTCCCAGGTGTGGAAACTGAAGGACCGAGAGATTAAACGGGTGTGCTGAGTAAACTCATAGGCTGAGATTCGAATTCTCCTCCCCCAACGAGGCTGGAGCCTGTGCTCTCTTCCTTGATCACCACGTTTCTTTGCGAGCTGATGGAGGAAAGCGTGAGAAATGATAAGGCCCTGGAGACGGAGACCGCGAGCTTATCGCTGTCTCACATGCGCACGCTTAGGCGTTTGAGAGCTCACAGGCCCACTTGCATAACCACTTTCTTGATAGCGGGGTTACAGCTTGAGAGCACGGGGCTTTGTGCACGGCCAGACCTAGAGACTAGTCCTGGGTCTGCTACTGGCCGTTGTGACACCTGAAGTCATTTCCCCTATTCTGAGACTCCGTTTCCTCGTCTGTAAGGTGGAAAGAATAGTATCTGTTTCATAGGATCACAGTGAGTATTAAATGAAATAATGCAATTAAAGAACTCAGCAGGCCGGGCGCGGTGGCTCACGCCTGTAATCCCAGCACTTTGGGAGGCCGAGGCGGGCGGATCACGAGGTCAAGAGATGGAGACCATCCTAGCCAACATGGTGAAACCCCGTCTCTACTAAAAATACAAAAATTAGCCAGGCGTGGTGGCGCGAGCGTGTAGTCCCAGCTACTCGGGAGGCTGAAGTAGCAGAATCGCTTGAACCCGGGAGGCAGAGGTTGCAGTTGAGCCGAGATCGCGCCACTGCACTCCAGCCTGGCGACAGAGCAAGACTCCGTCTCAAAAAGAAAAAAGTACTCAGCAAATGGCTGACACATGATAGGCATTCAGTACCCGATGGTTATTACGGTCAAATCCAACCCCAGCCACTTACTGGCTGCGTGGCCTTGGGCAACTGACTTGATCTCGAAGACCCAGTTTACCCCCTGTGAAGTGAAGGGATTCCTCCCCCATGTGATACTTCAGAGTACTTTTTTCAAACAGCTGGTGTTGGCCTGTCAATAGGTTTTAAAATCCGTTTATAGAAAATTGTGATCAACATTAAAAAAAAAAGAATACAAAACAAAACAAACCAATGTGTCACACATTTCAAGTCTCAATTGGTGAAACTTTTGTTTCAGTTTTGAGTTTGTATTCAGGCACAATATGATGTGTTTTTCATATTGTGGGTTGAGATCAAAATAATTAAAAAAACACTGTTTAGAGGTGAAATAATCTTGTTTTCAGGATAGAATGTTTTCCTACTCCCTGGTGGGGAAAAGACAGGATACAGAAAGAGTTATGGGATACCCTGACTACTCTCTTCCCTTCACATCTGGCTCTGGAGTGCTCAGTGGGGCTGGTGAAGTAGAGACCAAAATATCCATATTTTCAAGTTCTGTTCAGAAATATTTTTGGGGCCACGTGCATTGCCTTATGCCTGTAATCTCAGCACTTTTGGGAGGCCAAGGTGGGAGGATCACTTGAGCCCAGGAGTTTGAGATTAGCCTGGGCGACATAGGGAGACCCTATCTTTACAAAAATAATAAAAAATACTAGCCCAACATGGTGGCTCGTGCCTGTGGTTCCAGCTATTTGGGAGGCTGAAGTGGAAGGATCTCCTGAGCCTGGGAGGGTGAGGCTGCAGTGAGCCGTCATCATGCCACTGCACTCCAGCCTGGGTGACAGAGCAAGACTGTCTCAAAAAAATAAAAACAAAAATATTTTGATGTCCTACTTTAGTTACTTGTGCAATAAGCAAGCTTGGTTCTGGTTCAAAATAGCTCAGTGCCATAAATTATTCCTGCTTTTAGGTCAGTTTCAGGTAAGGGACCTGGAATGTGGCAAACATAATAAATGTTTACTTGGCTGATACACTTGGTAGCCTTTCTTTGGAAAGACTGTCCTATTTTTTTTTTTTTTTTTTTTTGAGACGGAGTCTCGCTCCGTCTCCCAGGCTGGAGTACAGTGGCCAGATCTCAGCTCACTGCAAGCTCCGCCTCCCGGGTTTCCGCCATTCTCCTGCCTCAGCCTCCTGAGTAGCTGGGACTACAGGTGCCCGCCACCTCGCCTGGCTAGTTTTTTGTATTTTTTAGTAGAGACAGGGTTTCACCGTGTTAGCCAAGATGGTCTCGATCTCCTGACCTCGTGATCTGCCCCTCTCGGCCTCCCAAAGTGCTGGGATTACAGGCTTGAGCCACCGCGCCCGGCCAAGACTGTCCTATTGAAGGACCAACCCAGGCCTTACCCAGGAGATCTACTCATTTTGACTTTTTCCCTGTTACCTTCATTAATGATTTATGTGAACACTGTGTGCTAAGCACATTATGTAGTTCATCTCAATTAATTATCACATGAACTTTAAGAGCTAGGTACAGCCAGGAATGGTGGCTCACACCTGTAACACTCAGGGAGGCCGGGGAAGGTAGATCACTTGAGGTCAGGAGTTTGAGACCAGCCTGGCCAACATGGTGAAACCCTGTCTCTACTAAAAATACAAAAATTAGCCAGGCGTTGTAGCACGTGCCTGTAATCCCAGCTACTCGGGAGGCTGAGGCAGGAGAATCGCTTGAACCCAGGAGGCAGAGGTTGCAGTGAGCCGAGATTGCACCATTGTACTCCAGCCTGAGCGACACAGCGTAACTCCTTCTCAAAAAAAAAAAAAAAAAAAAAAAAAAGAAAAGCTAGGTACTATTACCTACTATTATCTCCAATTTGAAGATGAGGAAAACTGAGGCTGAAAGAGGTAAATTAACTTGCCTGAGACCAGGTAAAGTTAGGAGGTAACCAGGCTTTGAACACATCCTGTAGTGTTCTTGTAACACACCAATAGTTTCCTGGTTAGGGTGGGGAGGTTGAGGCAGGAAGTGCACACAAAGTAAATATGCCGTATCAATTAGCTTATGCTGTGTAACAAATCACCCGAAAACTTTGATAGCTTTAAAAAACAAACATTGATTAATTCTCATGATCCTGTGGATTAGCTTTTCTGAGCCAGTTCAGCTTGGGTTGGAAAGTTTGGGATGGTCTCACTCTCGTCTGTTTGATGCTGGCTGATAGCTGGGATGACGGGACCACGTGTCTTCAGCAGACAAGCCTAGCTAAATTACATGGTGATAATTGCAGAGTTCCCAGGAGCAAGAGAGGGCAAGACTCAATTGCACAAGCATTTTTTTTTTTTTTTTTTTTTTGAGATAGAGTCTCACTCTCACCCAGTCTGGAGTGCAGTGGCATAATCTCAGCTCACTGCAATCTCCGCCTTCTGGGTTCAAGCAATTCTCCTGCCTCAGCCTTCCAAATAGCTGGGATTACAGGTGCCTGCCACCATGCCTGGCTAATTTTTGTATTTTTAGTAGAGACGGGGTTTCACCATGTTGGGCAGGCTGGTCTTGAACTCCTGACCTCAGGTGATTCGCCTACCTCGACCTCCCAAAGTGCTGGGATTACAGGCGTGAGCCACGGTGCCCTGCCTGCACAAGCGCTTTTTAAGCCTTACTTCTGTAATCTTTCTATAATGACCCGTCAGCCAAATCCAAATTCTAGAGTAGAGAGCTAGACTGTAGACTTCACCTCTTGATTGGAAGAACTACAAAATACTGTGGCTCCTCCCCTCCCAATAGGTCTGTATTAGTTGTCTTTTGTTGTGTAACAAATTATTCCCAAACTTAATGGCTTAAAACTGTAGCAGGACAAGCTGCAGACAACCTCTCAGATACCGGGTTAAAGAAGGAAGAGACTTTACTTGGCCAGGAGCGTCGGTAGACTTGTGTCTCAAGAACCAAGCTCTCCGAAGAAAAAGTTCCTGGCCCTTTTAAGGGCTTACAACTCTAAGGGGGTCCACATGAAAGGGTTGTGATAGATTGAGCAAGTGATCTATAGGTAACACATGTGGTTACAGTGGCGGGGGGGGGGGCGGGGGGTGCAGTTATCTTTAACCTCAGGCCTGGTCAGTGGCGTCCAGTTGGTCTTGCCACTGACTTCATTCCTGTTGTTTTTCAGCTTTTACTTCTTCTTTGTCTTCAGAGACAGTAAGAGAAATAGCCTCTCCCCTCAAAACAATAATTAACATTTATCATCTCACAGTTTCTGTGAGTTAGGAATTTGAGAGCGTCCTAGCTGGGTGGTTCTGGTTTGGGGTCTCTCATGAGACTGAAATCATGTGAAGGCTTGGCCAGGGCTGGAGGAGCCCCGGCTGGCAAGTTTGTGCAAGCTGTTGGCAGGAGGCCCCAGTTCCTTACCACATGGACCTCTCTGTAGTACTGTTTGAGTGTCCTCATGATACAGCAGCTGGTTTTCAGCAGGGCAAGTGATCTAAGAGCAACGTAGAAACCACCAATGTCTTTTATGACCTAGCCTCAGAAGTCCCGCATTGTCAATTGCAACATCCCATGGTTTCACAGGTCAGCCATATTCAGTGTGCGCGGGAACTTTGTAAAAGTGCAGATACCAGGAGGTAGAAATCATCAGGGGCCACCTTAGTGGCTGGCTACCGTGCTGCCATACATGTTAAATGGCACTGAAAATGGCTTTATTCTACTGGTTTAATTAGCAGTTTGGCTGTGGATAGAATTCTTTCGTAATTGTGAAGATATTGCTCTGGTTTTTTTCTGACTTTGATAAACACAGTGCTGTTCTGACTCCTAATTCTTTGTATGGGTTTTTCCCCCACCCCAACCCTGTTTTCTGGAAGCGTTTGAGATCTTCTCTTGGTATTCTAGAATGTGATGATTTTCGTTGTGCTTTGATGTAGCTCTTTTGCCATTCATTGTGCTGGATACCTGAGGGAACTTTTCAGTTTAGAACCCCGGGAACAGAGTGTGAGCATGCAGGTTAGGACCTCTGCGTGCATGGACACAAGGCCCTGCCAGGCAAACAGATTTAGAGATATGAAGAGAAGGGGGCAGGGCTGGGGTTCTGTTCTCTGCCTCCCACCACCTTCTAGTACAGAACTCTGAGAGGCCCAAAAATGTGAATGTGGTCTTCCAAGTCATTGTGAAGGTTTATTTATCAACATAGCAGAATAAATTGTCTTTTATTTAATAGTTCATTAGGATCATTTACAACTTTTAAAGTATGCATTCAGCTGTATTCTTGCCCCTGTCCTGCAAGTATGAGGTTTGGCCTGCTAGGCAAATTGCTTAACCTCTCTAGGTCTCAGATTTTTTTCTTTTTTCTTATTTTTTTTTTTTCTAGGCCTCAGATTTGTCTTACATAAAATGGGAATAATAAGAGTTCCCGTGTTGTGGAGTGTTATGACAGTAATGTGAAATAACACATGAAAGTGTTTGGTATAACATCTGGTCCACAGGGAAAGGCTATTACTGTAACCACCCCCCTCCCCCGCCCCCTGACTCGGTTTTGCTTTCTGTGGTTTCAGTTACATGCAGTCAAACCACTGTCCAAAAATATTAAATGGACAATTTCAGAAATAAACTATCTGTAAGTTTTAAATTGCACGCTGTTCTGAGTAGCGTGATGAAGTCTTGTGCTGTCCCGCTCTGTCCACCTGGGGGACCTGAATCGTCCCTTTGTCTTGTGTCTCCATGCTGTATACACTCCCTGTTCATTAGTCACTTAGTAAGTGCCCTGTTCATTATCAGATCGACTGCCGTGGTATGCAAAGCTTGTGTTCAAGTCACCCTTATTTGACTTAATAATGGCCCCAAAGTGCAAGAGTAGTGATGCTAGCAATTTGGATATGCCAAAGAGAAGCCACAAAATTCTTTCTTTAAATGAAAAAGGTAAAAGTTCTCAACTTAATAAGGAAAGAAAAAAGAAAGTATGCTGAGGTCGCTAAGATCTGTGGTAAGAACGAATCTTCTATCTGTGAAATTATGAAGAAGGAAAAAAAATACCTGCTAGTTTTGCTGCCACACATGAAACTGCGAAAGTTATGACCACAGTGCGTGATAACTGTATTACATCATATTGCTATAATTGTTCTATCTTATTATTAGTTGTTAATCTCTTATTGTGCCTAATTTATAAATTAAACAATCATAGATATGTATGTATAGAAAAAAACATAGTACTGTATATATAGAGTTCAGTACTATTCAGTCATCCCCTGGGGGTCTTGGAACATGTCTCCCACAGATAAGGAGGGACTGCGGATAATCCCCAGTTTATGATGGTTCGACCTATGGCTTTGTGACTTTACAGTGGTACAAAAGTGATAAGAATTCAGCGTGCTCCTCGACAAGTGGACGAGCATCTACTGTGCTTTCACAGAGGCTGTCGTTGCCAGCAGCAAGACTGTCAGCTCAGCGCCCCCGTCTGGTTAGATAGGAAACTGCAGTTGCTAAGGGAGCTGGGTTTGGAAGGAGCCGGCCAGGGTTGCATGGTGGCTTAGCTGTGATTTGGGAGGAATGCCTTGTGCCTCTGCTTATTGTCTCCTCTCTTGCACTTCTATGTTGCAGGAATCTCTGAGGACAAATGGGAATTCTCACTGATTTCTAGGACTACCCTGGGGCAGGTAAGAAAAGCATCCAAGTTTTTTCTTTTCCCATTGCTCCATTTATAAACCTTTTTTTTTTTTTTGGAGATAAGGTCTCCCTCTTCCATGCAGGCTGGAGTGCAGTGGCACAATCTTGGCTCACTGCAACCTCTGCCTCCTGGGCAAAACCGGTCCTCCCACTTCAGCCTCCTGAGTAGCTGGGATTACAGGTGCATGCCACCATCCCAGGTAATTTTTGTATTTTTTGTAGAGATGGGGTTTCATCACATTGCCTAGGCTGGTCTCAAAATCCCGGACTCAAGTGATCTGCTGGCCTCAGCCTCCCAAACTGCTGTAGGCCTGAACGACCACCCCTGGCTGTAAACGTTTTCTTAGCTCAAGGATTGCTGAATTTATATCCATTTTCTTCTCCCCTCTCTCAGTTGGGTCTGTGAAATGATACTGTTAACTGTTTTCTGTTACTTTCAATGTTTCTTTGTGGCAAACTGAGGGCATAGTAATACTGTAGCAGCTAACAACCACTAATGTTGTTTTTTAATCTTCCTAATTGCAGTTGTTTTATTATTAGCTTCATTTTATAGATGAGAAAACTGGGCACAGAGAGGCTGAGTTACTTGCTCAAGTTCATACAGGCAGTCAGTAGTAGAGCTAGGATTTGAACCTGGCGGTCAGCCTCCAGAGTTCATGTTATTTTTATTTATTTATTTTTTTGAGACAAGGTCTTGCTCTGCCACCCAGACTGGAGTACAGTGTCGTGATCTCAGCTCACTGCAGCCTTGACACCCCCGGGCTTAGTGATCCTCCTGCCTCAGTCTCTTGAGTAGCTGGGACTACAGGCACACATCACCATGCCTGGCTAATTTTTGTATATTTTGTAGAGACGGAGTTTTCCCGTATTGACGAGGCTGGTCTCAAACTTCTGGGATCAAAGGATGCGCCCATGTTAGCCTCCAAAAATGCCGGGATTATAGGTGTGAGCTGCCGAGTCCATGTTCTTAACCGCACTGAACCTCCTCCAAATATTATTTAACATTTATGATTTACGATGTGCCAGGCTGAGACCCCAGAGCTTAGGCTCTTCTCCACCATGCTGCACTTACCAGCTGTGCTACCTTGGACAAGTCATTTTCCTCAGCGCTTAGGTTATGACAATAACTGTTTACTAGATGCCCACTCCGTGATTGGCACCTGGCCTAATCCATCATCATCACCATCCTGGCTAACGTGTCCTGAGCACTTTCTGTGTGCCAGGCACTGTTCTAAACATTTTAACACTGCAAGGTTGATTTGTTGTCCCTTTTTTTTTTTTCTTTGAGATGGAGTCTCACTCTGTTGCCCAGGCTGGAGTGTAGTGGCATAATCTCAGCTCACTGCAACCTCCACCTCCTGGGTTCAAGCAATTCTTCTGCCTCAACCTCCTGAGTAGCTGGGACTACAGGCGCACACCACCACACCTGACTAATTTTTTTTTTTTTTTTTTTTTTTGAGATGGAGTCTCACTCTGTCACCCAGGCTGCAGTGCAGTGGCACGATCTTGGCTCACTGCAAGCTCCGCCTCCTAGGTTCATGCCATTCTCCTGCCTCAACCTCCTGAGTAGCTGGGACCACAGGCGCCAACCACCACACCTGGCTAATTTTTTGTATTTTTAGTAGAGATAGGGTTTCACCATGTTAGCCAGGATAGTCTCGATCTCCTGACCTCATGATCTACCTGCCTTGGCCTCCCAAAGTGCTGGGATTACAGGCGTAAGCCACCATGCCCAACTTTTTTTTTTTTGGAGACAGCATCTTACTGTCACCTAGGCTGGAGTGCAGCAGTATAATCTCGGCTCACTGTGACCTCCACCTCCCAGGTTCAAGCGATTCTCCTGCCTCATCCTCCTGAGTAGTTGGGATTACAGGCGCACACCACCACCACGCCTGGCTAATTTTTGTATTTTTAATAAAGACAGCATTTCACCATGATCGTCAGGCTGGTCTCAAACTCCTGACCTTGTGATCCGCCTTCCTTGGCCTCCCAAAGTGCTGGGATTACAGGCGTGAGCCACTGCATCCAGCCTAATTTTTGTATTTTTAGTAGAGATGGGGTTTCACCATATTGGCCAGGCTGGTCTCGAGCTCCTGACCTCGTAATCCACCCGCCTCAGCCTCCCAAAGTGCTGGGATTACAGGTGTGAGCCACTGCGCCCAGCCTATTTTCCTCATTTTTAGAGAAAGAAACTGAGAAAGAGATTAAGTGACATGCTCAAGGCCACACGGCTAGGAAGTATGGGGTTTGAAGCCAAGTCTGACGTCTGACTCCACAGCCTGTGCCCTTAGCTGCCCTTCTCCGAGCCTTGTGGATACCTAGAGCCCAGGCTGTCATGATTGCTTTTGGAGATTTTTTTTATTTTTGTTTTTGTTTTGGTCAGCATACATTTTTTTCTGGATTTTTATTTTTTTCCAATAAGTTTTGGGGGAACAGGTGGTGTTTGGTTATATGAATCAGTTCTTTAGTGGTGATTTCCGAGGTTTGGGTACATCCAACCTTTGGAGTCTTTAATGCTGTTAGCAAATATTCCCAATTCTCTGCATCCAGGAACACGGATGGATTGTGCTTCCTTGACCCCATGAATTTAGGTGCAGCCGATGCAATATGATGGCAACAATAGATGTCACTTCTAGATATGACTTACAGTTCTATCAATATTATAATTAATATTATATTTTTATTATTATAATTAATGTTAATAATATATTAATATTCTCCACTTGCCTCGAAAATCTTACAAGCTTGGAAATGGCACCTCCCTTAGCCTGGGCCCCTGAGTGAGGATGACATACAGCAGATCCCTATCAGACCGACAATGGACAGGCAGTGAGACCTCTCTGTTGTTGCAAGCCACTGAGATTTGGGGGTTGTTGCTGCAACAGAACTATGTTCAAGGCTTCTCAATCTTGGCCCCATTTACATTTTCGACCAGATAATTCTTTGTTGCGGGAGGGGCGCTGCCTTGTGCATTGTAGCATGGATAGCAGCATCCCTGGCCTCTGCCCACTAGATGCCCATAGCTCCCCAACAACAGCCAAAAGCAAAATGTCTCCAGACGTTGCCAAGTGTCATACTGGGGACAAAGTCACCTCTAGTTGAGAACTACTGCCTAGCCTATTCCTTTTTCCCCTTTTTCTTTTTTGAGACACGTCTCACTTTGTCACCCAGGCTGGAGCGCAGTGGGCAATCTCAGCTCACTGTAACCTTTGCTTCCCAGGTTCAAGTGATTTTCCCACCTCAGCCTCCCAAGTAGCTGGGACTGCAGGCACACGCCACCACACCTGGCTAATTTTTGTATATTTTGGTAGAGACGGGGTTTCACCATGTTGGCAGGCTGGTCTCAAACTCCTGACCTCAAGTGATCCACCTGCCTCAGCCTCCAAAGTTCTGGGATTACAGGCATGAGCCACCGCACCTGGCCGGCCTTTTTCTTTTTTTTTTTTTTTTTTTTTTTTTTGAGACGGAGTCTAGCTCTGTCGCCCAGGCTGGAGTGCAGTGGCACAATCTCGGCTCACTGCAAGCTCCGCCTCCCGGGTTCACGCCATTCTCCTGCCTCAGCCTCCCAAGTAGCTGGGACTACAGGCGCCTGCCACCGCGCCCGGCTAATTTTTTCTATTTTTTGTAGAGACGGGGTTTCACCATGGTCTCGATCTCCTGACCTTGTGATCCGCCTGCCTCGGCCTCCCAAAGTGCTGGGATTACAGGCGTGAGCCACCGCGCCCGGCCAGGCCTTTTTCTTTAAATCCAGAAGAGGTGGCAACACTGGGCCCTGTCTTCCACCTGGAAGCAATAAAGTGGAGCTGTGTGGATAGCTCTCATTTTCTTTCTGTTCCCATCACTGCCTGCTGTCACATACCAAACCCCCGGTATTGGAGTTTGTGGCCCTAAGGAGAAATTAGGTGGTCTTCCTTTTTAGTGGTTGTTTAGGAGCTACTGTTTAAGAGACCTGAAAAAATAAGAATAGGGCCCCAGAACAGAAAAGTCAAACTGTCTGGGGAAGCAGGCGCTAAGATTTCAGTTATCAGCAAGGACTTGTTGACCTCAAAATAGTTCTTAGCTTGTGACCCTTTTATTTCATTCCACATTTAGAGGGAAAGAAGGAAGGACACTAAAATGTGGGCTCCCCCTCTGTCATTGCATCCTTATAAGAATTCCTGCGGAGTGCCATAATTTCCATTTTACCAGTGAGGAAACTGAGGCTCAGAGAGGTGTGGGAGTGGTGGAGGCAGGATTTGAACCTGGGTCTCATTCCGAAGGTCATGCCTGCTTTTTCCACTACACTAGGCATTCCCAAACCAGGCCACTCATTGAGTTCATTGGGGGAGGGAGGCCTACAAAAGAGTACCTGTGTCCAGATCCTACCTTTTACCTATTCAACCATATTTCTCCAGTAGGGCCCAAAAACCTGTACTCAGTTATTTGATAACTGTCTCCCTACGTAAGATGAAAGCTTCATGAGGGCAAGGGCCATGTCTCTTTTTTTTGAGATGGACTTTCGCTCTTGTTGCCGAGACTGGAGTGCAATGGCACAATCTCGGCTTACCGCAACCTCCACCTCCTGGGTTCAAGCAATTCTCCTGCCTCAGCCTTCCAAGTAGCTGGGATTACAGGTATCCACCACCACGCCCAGCTAATTTTGTATTTTTAGTAGAGACGGGGTTTCTCCATGTTGGTCAGGCTGGTCTCGAACTCCCAGCCTCAGGTGATGCATCTGCCTGGACCTCCCAAAGTGTCGGGATTACAGGTGTGAGTCACCGCTCCCCCGGCCTTTTTTTTTCTTCTTCTTTTTTGAGACAGGGTCTTGCTCTTTCACCCAGGCTGGTGCACAATGGTACGATCTTGGCTCACTGCAGCCTCAACCTCCCCGAGTTCAAGCAATCCTCCCACCTCAGCCTCCTGAGTAGCTAGAACTACAGGCGCATGCCACCACGTTCAATTAATATATATGTGTGTGTGTGTGTGTGTATGTATATATATATATATTTTTTTTTTTGAGACAGAGCCTCACTGTGTCACCCAGGCTGGAGTGCAGTGGCGCTATCTTGGCTCACTGCAAGCTCTGCCTCCCGGGTTCACACCATTCTCCTGCCTCAACCTCCCGAGTAGCTGGGACTACAGGCGCCCGCCACCACGCCCGGCTTTTTTTTTTTTTTTTTTTTTTTTTTTGGTGTTTTTAGTAGAGACGGGGTTTCACTGTGTTAGCCAGGATGGTCTCAATCTCCTGACCTCGTGATCCACCCGCCTCAGCCTCCCAAAGTGCTGGGATTACAGGCGTGAGCCACTGCGCCTGGCCCTAATATTTTATTTTATTTTATTTTTATTTTATTTTATTTTGAGATGGAGTTTCACTCTTTGTTGCCCAGGCTGGAATACAATGGTGTGATCTTGGCTCACCACAACCTCCACCTCCCAGGTTCAAGCTATTCTCCTGCTTCAGCCTCCCAAGTAGCTGGGATTACAGGCATATGCCACCACACCTGGCTAATTTTGTATTTTTAGTAGAGACAGGGTTTCTTCATGTTTGTCAGGCTGGTCTTGATCTGCCAACCTCAAGTGATCCACCCACCTCAGCCTCCCAAAGTGCTAGGATTACAGGTGTGAGCCACCGCGCCTGGCCTAATATTTTATTTTTTAGAGACGAGATCTCACTATGTTGCCTAGGCTAGTTTTGACCTCCTGGACTCAAGCAATCTCCCACCTTGGCCTCCCAAAATGCTGGGATTACAGCTGTGAGCCACTGTCCCCAGCCTGCCATGTCTGACTTAGTCAGTGACACAGAGTGGGAGGCAATGCAAGCATTTGCTTAAAACTAAATCAACAAGCTTCCTAGTCCTGACCTAGGGACCTGCTGTGAAGAGCTATTCCACTGTGGCAAATTCTCTGGAGCAGTTCTCAAACTTCAGTGTACATTTTAAGATTGCCTAGTGTCAGCCAGGCACGCTGGCTCATGACTGTAATCCCAGCATTTTGGGAGGCAGAGGCGGGTGGATCATTTGAGGTCAGGAGTTCAAGACCAGACTGGCCAACATGGTGAAACCCTGTCTCTACTAAAAATATAAAAATTAGTCGGGTCGTAGTGACGCATGCCTATAATCTCAGCTACTTGGGAGGCCAAGGCAAGAGAATCGCTTGAGCCTGAGAGGCGGAGGTTGGAGTGAGCTGAGATCACGCCACTGCACTCCAGTCTGGGGAACAGAGCAAGACTCGATCTCAAAAAAAAAAAAAATTGCTTAGTGTCAGGCCGGGCACAGTGGCTCATGCCTGTAATCCCAGCACTTTGGGAGGCCAAGGCAGATGGATCACCTGAGGTCAGGAGTTCAAGACCAGCCTGGCCAACATGGTGAAACCCATCTCTACTAAAAATACAAAAGTTGGTGGTGCACGCCTATAGTCCCAGCTACTCGGGAGGCTGAGGCAGGAGAATCACATGAACCTGGGAGGCAGAGGTTGCAGTGAGCCAAGAGCGATCGAGCTACTGCATTCCAGCCTGGGTGACAGAGTGAGACTTCACCTCAAAAAAAAAAAAAAAAAAATTGCATAGTGTCTCAGTCAGTTCAGGCTACTATAACAACTTACCACAGACTGGGTGGCTTAGGCAACATTTACTTCTCACAGTTCGAGGCTGGAAGTCCAAGATCAAGGCGCTGGCCAATTCTGTGTCTGGTCAGGGCCCTCTTCCTGGTTTGCAGACTGCCATCTTCTCATTTCCTCACGTGGTGGAGAACAAGGAGCAAGAACAAACTCTCATTTCTCTTATGAGGGAGAATCCTATTCATGAAGCCTCTACCCACGTGACCTAATTACCTCCAAAGGCCCACCTCCTAATACTGTCACACTGGGGCTTAGGATTTCAGCATAGGGATTTTGGAGGGGGCACAAACATTTAGTCCATAACACTTGAGTTGTATCTTTTTAAATGCATATTCTGAGGCCCCAACCCAAGACTTGTGCTTCAGAAACAGATACAGTGATGTAAAATGTTGATGGCTGGAACTTTCCTTAGTCTTTGAAAAGAGACGAGACCATAGACATCATAGAGAAGTTCAGGGGGCTGGGCAAGGTGCCTCATGCCTGTAATCCCTGCACTTTGGGAGGCCAAGGCAGACTGATTGAGCTGAAGAGACCAGCCTGGGCAACATGGCAAAACCCCATCTCTTCCAAAAAAATACCAAAAAATTACCTGGGAGTGGCGGTGCACATCTGTAGTCACAGCTACTTGGGAGGCTGAGGTGGGAGGAACACTTGAGCCTGGGAGGTTGAGGCTGCAGTGAGCCAAGATCCCACTGCTGCACTCCAGCCTGGGTGACAGAGTGAGACAGTCTCAAAAAGAAAAAAAGAGCAAGAGAAAGAAGTCCAGGGGCCTCTGAAGACAAACTGTTTCACCATTTGGCAAATAACCAGAAAGAGATGAAAGTGGATGAGAAACCCTGTGATGGGGGCATCTGTCAAGCTGATAAGCCAGGTCGGATTCTGCTGGGCATCAGTTACATGAAGCAGACAAAATATCTCATTCTTAGAAATGGCTGTTGAATTTGAGGAAAAGAATTTTTAGGTTGGGCACCATGGCTCACACCTGTAATCCCAGCGCTTTGGGAGGCCAAAACGGGCGGATGGCTTGAGGTTGGGAGTTCGAGACCAGCCTGGCCAACATGGTGAAACCCTGTCTCTGCTAAAAATACAAAAATTAGCTGGGCATGGTGGCACATGTTTGTAATCCCAGCTACTCGGGAGGCTGAGGCTGCAGTGAGTCCAGATCGTGCCACTGCACACCAGCCTGGACAACGAAGTGAGACTCTGTCTCAAAAAAAAACCCAGAAATGACTGTGGCCTTGGCTCAGGCGTCTTTTGTTTTGGAGGTCGGCTTTGCTTCAGAGACCAAATTGGGTATGTGTGTCAGTGTGTGAGATGGTAAATGTGACTGAGAGCATGTGTTCTGGAATCAGGCCAATACATAGCACCACTGCTCACTGATTCTGTGACCTTAAGCAAGTTCTTTCTCTCTCTGTACTTCAGTTTTCTCATTTTCATTAAAACAATTTTTAAAAATTTATTTCTACAGATAGTATGATGATTTAAGTTCTCATTTTTATTTTTCAGTTCCCTGGATTTACCAGGATTAAGTTGTCATTTTTAAAATGGGGCCATGACTGTTTACCTCACAGGATCATTGTGATAACAGAGGCAGTGTACACAAGGAGGAATGGTGGCACCTAGTAGGTGCATAATCAATAAAGTCAGTTACTCCTCCCCAACTGTAAGTGTCAGAGTCTATTACTCCATATCCTAAGGTCTAATACAGGTCCTGGCTCAGCAAATGTTTAATTAATCGATAAAGGACGGATTTGTATATTTGATGGAATCCACTTGCTGTATGCAGGGTTGAAGCCAAACCGTGGTGGCTCCATTAGCAAGTGCTAAAGCTCCTGCAGCTCAGCCAGAGCCACCACAGCAGGTTCTCATTAAGTCCTTGCTGGCACGACTTTCCTGCATTCCTGTTCCTTCTGTTCTCATTAGAACGCCTGTGTAAGCTGAGACCTACTGGGCCCTCACAGCCCCTGGAAACTGAAAGATAGAGTGGCACAAACCTTGCAGTCAGAGAATCACGGTGTTAAATCCTTCCTTTTGCCACTTTATTAGCTATGCAACTTGGTCATGTTAATTTCACTCCTCCCCTGCGACACCCCCGCCCTTTTTTTTTTTTTTTTTTGGGTCTTGCTCTGTCGCCCATGCTGGAGTGCAGTGGCAATCATGGCTCAACCTCCTGGGCTCAAACCATCCTCCCACCTCAGACTCCCGAGTGACTGGGACTAAAGGTGTGTGCCACCACACCCAGCTAGTTTTTTTTTATCTTTTGTAGAGACAGGGTTTTGCCATGTTGCCAAGGCCGGCCTCGAACTCCTGAACTCCAGCAGTCCACCCGCCTTGGCCTCCCAAAGTCCTGGGATTATAGGCATGAGCCACAGTACCCCCTGACCCCCTACCCGTTTTTTTTTTGAGACCAAAAAAAAAAAAAAAAGATGGAGTTTTGCCATGTTACCCAGGCTAGTCTTGCTCTGTCATTTAGACTGGGGTGCAGTGGCATAATCACAGATCACTGTAGCCTTGACCTCCCAAGCTCAAGTGATCCTCCCACCTCAGCCTCCCACGTAGCCGGGACTATAGGTGCACCATCACATCTGGCTAATTTTTAATCTTTTAAGAGACAGGGTCTCAATATGTTGCTCAGGCTGGTCTTGAACTCTTGGGCTCAAGCAATCCTCCCGCCCCCGCCCTTCAAAGTGTTGGGATTACAGGTATGAGCCACCATGCCTGGCCCCATTTCACTCCTTTGAACCAGTTTCTGATTTTAAGCTGGGGTTACCAGGGTTCCAAGTATAACAAGGGACAGTGCCTGTTCCCTGCAAATGCTGAGTTCCCTCCCTTTGCTGATAGAATTCTTTCCCCCTGAAATTCCTCTTTCCTCATCCTATGTTACCAACAGAAATTTGGCATCGTATAAGGCCCAGCCCAATGATACTGATTAAAATCTCTGCCTTAGGAGGTTGCGGTGAGCCGAGATCACCTCCCTCCAGACATCGGCCTAGGCAACAAGAGCGAAACTCCATCTCAAAAAAAAAGTCTCTGGCCAGGCGCAGTGGCTCATGCCTGTAATCCCAGCACTTTGGGAGGCCGAGGAGGGCGGATCACGAGGTCAGGAGATGGAGACCATCCTGGCTAACACGGTGAAACCCCGTCTCTACTAAAAATACAAAAAATTAGCCGGGCGTGGTGGCGGGCGCCTATAGTCCCAGCTACTCGGGAGGCTGAGGCAGGAGAATGGCGTGAACCTGGGAGGCGGAGCTTGCAGTGAGTGGAAATCACCCCACTGCATTCCAGCCTGGGAGACGGAGCCAGATGCTGTCTTTAAAAAAAAAAAAAAGTCTCTGCCTTAAACAGTCCAAGACTCAGGCATTTTCTAACTTCTTTTCACTGACACTAAGTAAGGAAGACACAGTATATGGAGTTTTTTGTTTTTTATTTAGACATGGAATTTTCCTTTTCATATAACTTATCTAATTAAAATATTCATCTCGGTAGTTACCACAAAAAAGTAACATAGAAAATTGTATTTACATTTTGGGACCAAAATACAAATGAAGAGCAGGATGACACCTTGCTCCTTTCCCTCCCGCTTCCCAGAAAGAAAAAGCCCCAAAGAAACTGTTCAGTACACCAGGGATCAAAGGGGTAATCTGTAATTTGGTGATCTGTATGTAGTGTAGCACAGAAAAAAAAATTGTACAGTTTTTCCATAAATGAGACCAAAGGTTCAAATTCATCCCGTGTCAGATTCAAATTCATCCTGTGTCTGCTCTGCAGTCATTTTAGTAAGCTGGGCAAGGAGGTCATTTAGAAATTGGGTTTTTCCTCTTTCCCCTGACTCTTCGCACCAAGTCACATCCCTGATGTAGATACTCTTGGGGGAGGGGAAAAGATCTGGCTCTATGCAAACAGGGTTCATCAAAAATCTTTATGTGCCAAAATGGATACTGACATTGATATGAACAAATCTGCCTTTTCTTCCCTCCCTGCCTAAAGACTCCTAATGGAAATTAAATCATACACAACTGAATCTAAGATATGAAAAACTGGTTTCAATGACAAAGACTTGAACACAGTTAAGAGACAAATTCAAGGTGGTAGACACCTAGAAAAAGCTATTCTAGGCAGCAGACATCTGGTACCTGATCCAAATGTTCATTTGGTTTCAGGTAAGAGGCTTCCTAATATTAGATTTGGTGGGGGGGCAGGCTAGGGATAGGGGTGGAATGGTGTACAAGTGACCAAGAGAAGTAATGCTTTACCCAATTCAAAAATATAGCAAATTAAAACACAGTAACGTTTGTGTCCTGTCACAATAGGCACCCTGCACAGCAATTCACACTGAACAATGTCGAGTTTCTGCTGAACACACTTCCTACATTGCTCTGGAATTCAAAGTTGGCCTAACTGAGGTCTCCAGTTACAGAAAACACTTGCTCTGTATCCTGGGCTTTGAGAAAACTTGTCGGGTTACCACACTTACCATCCCCTCAGTCTGCTTGTCAGGTTCCTTAAGGACGCACATCTCAAATGTATGGCATCTACCTCCACCTGGGTCACAACCAAGTGGGTTTCTACTAGATCAATGTTCTTTGACAGCCAACAAGGGAGCTGACATTGCCCCCTAAGTTCTGATCTTGCTCCTGTTCAACTGGAACTTGATGGATCCCATGTGGTTTCCCCCATCCTGACGCTGTGGCTCAGACACTCTGCCTAAACTGGTCCTTCCCTCCAAATCCTGCCTTAAACACTCAGAAGGTAGAAAACGCTTCAGCGGCAAAGTTCTCTTCCCAAGCCAACAGTTTTGTTCTTCCAATCACATGATCTTACCTTTTAAATAAAAGGCAAAACAAACGAATTTCCAACATAGCATTACAGCTTTAAAAACCATTCACTTCTCATAGTGATTCACAGAGAACAAGAGATTAAAGTGCTGGCTTTTAAATGTCTAAAGTTGCACTCAGGGCTACAAAAAGCCCTGCCATGTGTTTATTTTTCCTTCATGCTGTTGAGGAGAAGGAACGATAGGGAAGGGGACTGGGGGGAAACCCAAAAATTTTCAGTCAGATACTGGAAATTGTAAAAGTGGGAGGTGGGGAGTTCTGTGCAAATCAGTCTCCCAAGGTTCTGTGTCCTCTAGTGAGCCTCAAAGAAAAAAAAACAAAAAGGTAGGGACTCACAAAAAGGATGAGGGAAAGGCTCCAGACCTACAGAGCACCTCCCTTAATAAATACTAGTGAGTAAGAAAGAGATGCTCCTGCACAGGAATGTGCAGCAACGCTGGGGAGGGCCTGAGGTGGAGTCCACCGTGCCCTGTTGCCCCACTGAGGCTCCCTTGGGGACAGGTGGTCTGGTGCTCACTCCTCGCCCTATGTGCAGCAGGTACTGTGCAGGCTCTGGAGATGCCCAGTCCTCTGTCTGGACCAGAGTCCACTCAGGAGAGCTGAGCTGGGGCAGGAGAATGGCTTTCACTAGGCTTTCATCTGATTTTAATAAGGACCTGGAAGATAAAAGGCTAAATGTGTGGTAGAGAACAAAAAAACAAAAACAAAAACAAACCTGGGGGGTAATATAAATACAATCTGGGGGCAATATTTATTAATTAAAACTATGTCTTATAGTTTACAAAGATGCTAATGAACAACAAAAGTATAATTGACCTTTAAAATCCTCAGTGAGACAGAGGCTTCACATCTTCTTCAGAATTCTGAAGTGTGCTCCAGGCAGGGAGGCGGGGCTGTGGCACGCAGGTTCCCAGGGGCAGCACCTGCAGACTGCAGGACTTGGAGACCAAAATGATCCATAAAGCAAGACTCCAGTTCCCTGTAGAATTCCATTCCCCAACCCCCACTTTCCTTGTATTCTTGCCTCCCCAGATTCCATTTCCAAGGCAAGTCCTCAGTTTATCGTCGGGAGAATCTGTTCTTGAAAGCTTTAATTGTCTTGGCCATCATTGGGGCAATTTCTGTGAAAAGAGAAACAAGGCAGTTGTCTCAGATCTATGGCGGCTTAGACACACCCCCAGTGGTTTACAGTCAAAGCCAGCTCTGCTACTCTTGGCTGTGCACCACCAGGCAGAGATACAAGTAGTAACTATCTCCTCTGTTTACAATGCAATAAAAACAGCAGCACAGAGCGGACACTTTCAGAGGACCTGCCCAGGGGCATAACAACCACTCTCTAACTATCTGCACCAAAGCTCAGAGAGCCTGGCCAACTTGCCCATGGTTGAACAGTAAGGTACAGAATTGCAATTCAATCTTTGTCAGACTTCCTTATTTTTTTAAAGAAAGGGTCTCACTCTGTCACCCTGGCTAGGGTGCAGTGGCACAATCACAGCACACTGTAGCCTCTACCTCCTAGGCTCCAGAGTAGCTGGGACTACAGGAGTATGCCAGCATGTCTGGCTAATTTTTTTAATTTTCTGTAAAGGCAGGGTCTCACTATGTTGCTCAGGCTGGTCTCAATCTCCTGGGCTCAAGCATCCTCCTACCCCAGCCTCCCAAAATGCTGGGATGACAGGTGTGTGTGAACCACTGCGCCCTGGCCCTTGCCAGACTCTATAAGGCCATACTCAGTCATAACTTTGCCTCACAAATAACCAAACCAGTAAACAGCCCATCTACCCCTAATCTGTCCAGTGTAGAAACAGGTCTAAGGTGGCTCTGCA